CGATCTACCCTGTCTTTGCAATGTTATCGCCATGGCTTTTTGAACAGCTCAGCAGTAACCCCAAATCTTTTCTGAATTTTAAAAATTTTTCTGTTGCTACTTTCGAAAAGCGCTAATAAGCGTTATGTAGAGCCATTCTTCGGCTACATCATGCTTATTTTAGATTACATAGGTCACGCTTATCAAGTCCTAAATAATTATTTATTAAAAAAAAACCACCGCTTTTTGATTACGTCTACCACGCAAAAGTACCGAAAATTCCAAAAAGCAGATTTTTGAAGCAAATCAAACTTGGTTATGTTGAATAAATAATATTTAATAACAAGCAAGTTTAAGTTTGCGAAAACTTTGAAAGCTGTCATGTTTTTGCTGCAGTTGCGCGTTTCAGACTTTGCCAAATATCGAGACTTTCGAAGAAATAATTTTTTGAAGCTAAAAACAGCAGATTAGGGGAACCTAAAAATATTGCCATATAGTCCGAGAATTGCTCTATTTAAATCATACTTAAACTTCTCCGGAACTTTGAAATAAAATTTTAAAAAATTATCCGAACTTTGAGCAGATAAAAATGACGGGTGAAGAATTTTAGAAATTATCAGAAAAAGCACTGAGGGTTTTGGTTCGAAAATGTGTTCACAAGAAAGAGAAAGAAAAGCTGCATCGAATGCTTGTTAAAGCTCATTCAAGTCTTCATTATGCGTGGTTTTATAGTGAGTTGAAAAAACCGACAAAACTTTCGGGACAACCTAATATGAGACAATACAACAAAAACACAGATTTCCAGTGTGGACAAGCAACTCCCAACTGCACAGCATCAAATCGAAAAACGGAGTCTGCGTTGTAAATCTTTTGAAAGTGGACATTAAATTCTCCGATTTTCCTACATCAATTCGGGAAAACTGGTTCCTTTTGTGCATCTGGATATTTTTATGTTACAACCTTTTTTCTCTTAGACGTACTTGGTAGTTTCGATTTAAATTTCTGCCGCTGAAAACCGGATATAAAGTCAGGATTCCTAATATAAGGGCTGATAATTTCTTGGATGGAGTATTGTTGTGGTCTTCTATTTTTCCGTGGATCCGAGACACGAATAGTAGCAGTGCTTTATTGACAACTGCTACAAATGGCAGAAGCGAGGAGTGGAGGAATGGAAGAATGAAGAATGAATGTTACCGCAAAAGGAAGCTCTCATATAGCTATCTAAGGATGGTTGTAAACAGCACAAGGTCATACAAGCAGCCTAATTTCACTCTACAACAATATAAATGCTCGAAAACCAAAAAGAAGGTTCAGAACTTCAGTGATGCTGAAAAGCTGTAATCTGGGGCTTGGCTGCCCCCTGAAAAATTGTAAACATGTATGTATGATAACCTAGGAGAAATTCCCAAGTCCAGGTTATATTTACCTTTCAGATAGAAAAGCAGCTGACATCCAGAAATAGTTGAAATTTCACAAACTTTCGTTAGAGCACATTTCTTTGAAAAAAAAGTAATCCGAAAAGAATTTTCTTCCTAGCTTGTTCTCACATGCAATGCTGCAATTTTCCCCAACATTTTCCCGATATAAAGCTGCCATATGGACCATTCTAAGCTAATGCGCTCATACAATGTCACATCAAGAACCCCACATCCTCACGATAAACTCGGGGTTTTTTTGAGTGCTTATGGGCAATGCCCTACAGTTGATGTGAAGATGCATGTTCTTACTCTGAAGCGGCAGAGTAGATATAAAAGTACATGAAGTAGATCTTTACATAGATAAAGCAAGCTCCACAAGATAGTATTATAATTAAATGATCGCAAAAGACTTGATTTTCGTAGGTTTGGAGAGATAATCCAAAAATTTCCATTACCCAAAAATCAAATTTTCTTTTAGTTAGATCCTGCAAACCTTCAACTTAGTCAAGCATATACTATACACCAGTGACGTCTCAAGATTTCAGACAGGGAGGGGGGACAAAAATTTTTCCTTAATGAAGGTGCGTGGCACTAGCCACGCACTCCGAAAATGTTTTTGGTATGCTCCCTAAAATTTTCGCTGGCTCAAAACCGCGAGAGAAAAATTTTTTTTATAGGGCTAAGATGAATTTTAAAAAATTTTAAAGAAAACCTCAATTATTTACATGTATTAGGTCGTTCCGAAAGTAAGTTTTTTTCTGCATTGTTTTCAACAAGCTCTTCAAAAATTACCAAATTCTGCGACCCATGCTTCTTGGGAAGGCCAACTTTCACAAATTTTCCGAATATTTATAACAACCCTCGGAAGGAGTCCAAGTAATGGATGGATAGAGCAAACGCTACAGAAAACCGCACAACTTTCTATTTTTCAGAGCTCGTCATAATTTTTGAATAGATTTTTCAATGAAACCACCGAATTTTAGCAGGCTCGTCTCAGACACAAATGCATCATTCGGGGTACAGCCTGTGGCGCCCTGGAAAACCTGAATTATGATGATTTTATCCCGGAAAACTTGATGAATCGGAAACAAAAAACAACTATTAGAAAGAGGAGAGCTGCGTCGAATGACACCCGAGTTGCTTGCCGATTATTGTTCTGTGAGGTTTGAGTTGACCAGATATGGAATTTGATATCATTGAAAAACTGATTCCAGAAACTCTAAGAAGCAAGCTAAAGAAAAGAAATAAATTACTCTATGTCCTATAAGATTTGCTCTATCTACATGTCATTTGTATTTCTTCACAGATTAGGTAGAAAAATTTAGAAAACTAGCAAAACTTGACCATGACAAAAACATGAGCCGCAAATTTTGGTAATTTTTGAGAGCTTATTGAATATTATGCGAAGAAATCACAACCGTTAGAAAGAGGATGAAATGCTGCACCGAATGCTCTTAAGTTCTCTTGAAAATCTCGATTCCATGAAATGTGGCGTTCCTTAAAAAGCGACATTACTTTCGGAACGACCTAATATAAACAACTCACTTGCCTATTTTTGGAAGCCATACACGTAAATTTCAAAAATTCCCCCTCCCTTCCGGATCGCCACTGCTTTGAATATTCATACGACTTGCCGTAATTTTTTCATACCTGGAAATTGAGAAAGAAAAATTCGAGTTTTTATGTTGAGTTGTCGACAACAAACGCTCAAAGAAAGTTGAAAATTTATTCTATACTTCCAAAGAATTGGTTTATTTTCTTAATTTCTAGCCATGAAGAAACACAACAAGTGTACAAACGCATAGCGGATGCGATGAGTAACTTTTTCGAGCAAGTTGGAGGTTTGTAGAATCTTTTTGGAGCAGGGTCCGATCATTAGGCATTTGAAAATGATTTTTTCTTAACTTCAAAATTTCTAATAATAAAAACTGTTTGAACAACATCTTGTGGGGCTTGCTTTGCGCTCTTGAATGATATGTTTCCTACAACTCCAAAGATTCTTCTGCCGCAGTCAATTAGCGTGCTGATTGACGATGGTTTTGTTATGATGAGAAAGTTGAGCAAAATCGTAAGTCTGAAAAATTGCCATGTTGCACTCCTTTGCAAAAGTCATTCCGTTCCTTTTTGCAAAATGTCCGACACCATTCGGGCCTTTGAGAAATTCATTTTTAGAGGCCCACGCAACAAATAATTTCTGAAGATTTCAGTGGTTTTCTCCAGTCTGTTTCCCTAAGCAGTCACCTTGTTGTAGCGCCCACCTACCAACCTATTTGTAATTCCGGTTTGAAAGCAGGTGAATTCTCCAATGCAAATTAGGCACGGACAGAAAAAAATGTTTGCAAAATTTAATTTTTTCAGAACAATGCGTCTTGCGCAGTTTGGCCATCACTTGGGCAGGATGTGACAAATTATAAGGGGTCGTGGTCTTTTCTTAAAGTCGCCAAAAATGATCACCTAGTCATGTCATAGTCATGAAATATTGAATACACAGATTGTTCAATTCCGAAAATCACCTAAAATACAATTTTACTTTTTTTGCTACATCATTGTTCTTTTCAACACTTCGAATCTATATGCTATGAATGTATCCATTTTATGAACTTTTATCCTCTGCTACGTTCCTCGGTCCGAACGAAATAATAAGCTAAGCTCTATACTATTCTAAAACCATAATACAAGTCACATTCAAAGACCGCGCTTCTTGAAAAATGTTCAACCTATCTAATGAGCAATATTCGACCTCTCTAGGATTCAGACTTTCGTCCTTCAAAATCCTGAATCAAACCATTTCTCATTTGGTGAGTTTTGTCTTGTTCCTTCAAGCACAACATGAAAGAAAACGGTTGAAGAGCAGAACTTCTCCTTTTAAGGAATAAAAGTAGGTTTGAGCATGACTGTACCGTTGTGAAGATATAGTAAGCATATCAAGTCGGCTAAATCTCGAAAGATCTTACCATCTGTTCGTTATAATCGGCAAATGTCATAAATTCAAACCAGAGATTGCGCAAATCCTCGCGGAGCTTTTCCGAACACAAAAAAATTCGACATTGTATTCCACAAGGACCACAATTACATTTTTTGCTGTCAATAAGTCATTCTACTTGAATTTCGTGACAACGAAATGCGGCAAATTCCCAAGAGAAATCTATGATTTTTTTTGGCCATGTCGAGAGTCAAAACACATGAATTTTGAAAAGAAGAGCGAATATAATGAGAAAAAGTGTCGTTGTTGAGGAGTAATGACTTTGTTTATGGTCTCTGTCGGTGGCTTAAAGCTATTTTGAAAGCATGCTTGATTCCATTGTGTGGGCCAAAAAAGGACACAAGGCCCTTCCTGTTGAGATCAGAGTCGGCATCCTGAACTTTTAAGGGAATCCACATCCTGGACTTGGACAGGGCCAAGCAAATGTGGCATCTGTTCCAGAAGTACAAAATTTCGATGTGTTTGAAAAACTGACAATTGACAATGAAAAGAACCACACAAACGCTTAGCCTAATAAAACGAATAAGGATGTCACACTACTGTACAAGGCGTAAAACATCTAATTACCACAGTACCTCATATGTCCATAATTCTTACTGTTCCCTCCAAACACAATTTATATAAATATTTATGCATTTTCGGAACAAAAATACAGCAGCCTAGACATTTTTTTCAATGTGTAGCATAATTTCTTAGCGTCAAGGTGCTCATCATATAACACCTCTGCGCGAATAACTACAAAGAGAAAGTTCAGGGAGAGCGAGAAAAGAGTAGTAAAACGAGAAATACGACCTGTTAAACGAAGGGGGGATGAACATCCACACATACGCAGATGTGCGCGCAACAGCTTAGAAAGCAGATATCACATATCATAAGATAATAGATGGATGCTTACATTAATCAATAATCAATACATTCGATCTCAAAGAGACACAAAGAAGCGTATACGATACGTCATGAGCGGTGGCGATGGGATGAGTCATACACAAATGTATAAATATATAAAAAAATCAGAATGACTGAAAAAGACAATTTTGGATACATTCTATGGTCGTGAGAATACGACCGTAATTACACTAAAATTTGCTGAAATTTGGTACAGTAATATACTGTACAAGGAAAGTGGGAAAAGGAGAGTTGCACCATACACTCACACGCACTAAAAGCTGTAGAGGACTGACAGTCGGACAAAGATATTCTAAAGGACGCAAACAATAGGCTTGGTCTACCGGATCAGTAAAACGTTAATAGGAGAGGCACCTGGACGCGTTGGGATGCTATCATAAAGCCAACATATAAGCAAATACGAGTAGATAATAAGTGGATGTGACAATGTGACAGGTGGGATTATAGGCTGTCTCAATTTCAGTGCCAGAGCTCCAGCAGTTGGGTCCTCGCGACCGCCCCGCTCGAGCTTTGCGTCGCGTTCGCGATGCAAACCCTGGACATTTTCCCACGCTAGCAAGCAATCAGCTACTGCTCAAGCTTGAGAAGATGTCCAAAGGATAGGACCGCAAGGCTCAAGCGACGCGGTCACGAGCACCCAACCGCGAAAGCTTTGAAACTTGCAATGAGATAGCCTATAGACGAAATGGGACTACGAAGAACTCAATACACACGTCATATAATGACGCAGATTATTTCGACAGCGGGAGATAAAGGAAAAAAAGTGGAAACTATACAACAAAGAAACGGATATTATCACAAACAACGTGACTATAAACGATAACAACATGTTTCAGGTAAGAGAATCGATGAGCATATGAATTTCGGAAGAGCATTATCAACAACAAGGAAGGTGCGGTGCGCGAGCACATGCGACGAAGGACACCAGGCAATGTGACTCTCAACATTGACAAAGGAGTGCAGAAAACCTCCAGAAAGAGAGTAAAAAACCGCCAAAATGGGTCGAATAGGCAAATTTCGTACCGAAACAATTGCTTAACCGTACGCACCGACTCTGACTGTTGCCGCCGCCCTTTGGGAAGGGCGCTTCAGCCAGATATGACTATTGTTGATTCGGTCTAGACAAGGGAGAAGATGGTGACTGTGGGAGAGCTGACACGTTGGCTTGTTGCTTGGATATAGGTTCCTGAAATGTCCCAATTTGGAAAGGCTTATGCAGAGAGGTGTGGAAGAGCGTGAGAAAGAAGCATAGGGAAAGTCCATGTAAATGTATATAATCATTTTCAGAGATTTTAGAGATCTGTTGACTGATTTGAATAATAATTCAGTGATCCATAGCGAATCCATTGATGAACTTCGTCGGAACGCTGTGTCGTTGGTGGATGACTCTCGGAATGTTGAAGGGTTGCCGGTCGATAGCTCTCCCAATACTGCACCGCCGGTTGACTTTCGGGATACTGTTGACTTTCCGCGTACTGTACCGTAACCGGTCCACTCTCAGAATGCTGTCGTATGGTTACCGGCCGACTCTCGGAATACTGTACCGTCGCCTCTCGACTCTCGGAATACCGTGTCGCCACCGATCGATTACTGTCAGAGGAGTACTGTACCGTCAGCGGTCGACGAAAAGGTCGCGGACCATATAATTGCTGCAGGTAAGATAACAACATTTGGTCTCTTTTGATGGGAGCTGGTGGTAACTATGTAATTCAACAAAATATCAGCAAAGCAGAATAAGCATGTCAGACGAGAAGAAAACAGTCACATGGTTCTGGTTTTTTGCAAATTACACCGTTCACAGTTTAAAACGAGACGAGAAGTGTAAGCATTTGTTATTCATTATGCGGTTAAGAGACTTGAAACCGCTTCGCAAACGTTTTCCAAGCGAGTTTGAACTTGTTCTTTCGTGTTCCTAACAATTAGTAGCAAACAGTCCTACAACAGATAGATCACAAGCATAATCTGACTGGAAACACAATCACAATGTGTGAAAGCGGTTTCGAGTCTCCCTGCCACACAGAATGGATGCTGTGTGCTTGAAAATCGCGAACGGCACCCAAGAAAATAGAAGAAAAAGCCAGAAAATGATCCAACGAAATAAGTAGACAATTTCGTGCTTACCAAATAAGGATTCTCAGCACTAGTGGATGATGTGGTCGTATTGCCATCTCGTCCAAGTGATGAGCCTGAAACTGCTCACATGTTCAAGAAACCCGAAAAAAATTTGTGGGCAAAAAATATTGAAAATTTGATTGCGCAAGTGAAGTGCCTCTACTTACCTTCAGAGCTTTTACTCGTCGTACTCAATGGCCTTCCGCGATGCAACTGCTCAATATCCTGTTTTGATCCTCCTAATTGTTTTACTGGATTGTTCGACGACGAGCTCGTACTTCTCATTATTGGGATAAGACCCCGTACCTTAAAATTTGGTTGTGAATCTATGAAGCACTGAGTAATGCTCAGACTAACCCGATCGCCAGCAGACTGGCCATGGCTTTGAGGTTGCAAATCAATCATGCTCTGCAACTCGTGAACCGAGCCAGGACCCATATGGACAATGTGCATGAAGTCACTGGGACCGGATATAGGTAGATTGCTTCTGCGATCACCAGGTCTAGAAGCGTTATACAATAGAATGAAGCATGATATACGAGGATCGAAAAAAAATTTAGAAAGAAAACAAAACAATGTGTGAATGATGCGAGAAGTACTGAAACAAACCGTGAGTCATCCTTTCCTGGTATTCGGACAGAGAACTTCCGCCTTCCCTTGTTGCGTTTTCCGATGGAGCCCGAGGTGTTCGATGATGAAGGTGGGATATAAAGCAAATCCTCATCTGGAAATAAGAAGAATTTTGCAATGCAAAAGATTGGAAATGATTTGATCTGTTGCTCAGGCGAATTTGGACTATGTTGGTCAAATTCATGTTCAAACAAGTCTCGTAATTACTAGAAATATATATGTTTCAAACCTGAGAGCACATCGCATAGCATCACTACAAACGGTGCATCATTCACCAAGCACAGCGACAGAAGACCATCAACTGTGAGAGGAATGGCATTCCTTAAACAGTAATTTACAAGGATATAATGGCACACAACGATTGCAGAGAATGTCACTCAGTTCCATTACTCACCGCAAGTTGATGGTTTGGATCCATTCTGCCGACATTACGTTGAAGACATCGATTTCATTTTCGGAGTAAACGCAGAGATGCGGACTGAGGTGAGCAAAGCCGCCAGGTCGCGGTGAGGATGGAAACATGAGTTCCTGGGAACGACTTCTCCTACCTGAAACAAGGTTTCGCAAATTGTTTATCACCTTATGTAGAAACCAAGCTTACCTTGAGCATCAACATAAAGTCCAAGCTTATCGAACACAAGCAGATATTCCCTTGATGAAGGTTCAATGGATTCTCCTGCCACCTCAACCATCAACTGTGCTTCATAGTTGGACTGGCTCAGGAACTGCAGCGATTGATCCTCCATATTCACCAATGCTGAAAAGAAAAATATACCGCATGAATGAACAGAAAGTGAAAGGCTCCTGGAAAGGAATAAAGTAACCCACATATATGTTTGGTGTTGTTCTGATCGCCTAGGGCCCAAGCACGGAATGAGTGAGTGAACCCGACCACAAGCCGACCTCCTTCGATTGCTAGTGATTGTGGAAGTCCTGGCATAGCCAATTCCTGTAACAAAAGCTTACAGTGTACTTTTTAGGGGAAAGAAGGGGAGGGAGATGAGACAAGAATAAACTATGCGATTTCCCGGTTTTCCTTTTTTTACAACCCTCAATTATAAAAAGGACAGCGAAGCAGCAGCCCAATTTTGACATCACCTACTGCGAAATCCGACTATGATAGTATGATCTTCGAATGTTGAAATTTGAAAAACTGATACTATTGAACATCCTTACAAAATTCAATTTTCTACAAGAAAATTCAAGTCATTGATGATAGAGATTTTCTTTCTATTTCTCTCCCCATTTAGTTCCCTCAAATGTAAGATAACAAATGCGCCTCGTTGTTTTCAATTCCCCATCCCAACAAAAAACAAGCAAATTACCTTCCATTTCCTATGTCTTTTCTCACTGCGATCGATTTGGTAAACGATGACGCTCTTCTTGATTGCCACTGCTATGTAGTGCACGTTTCCTGAAGGACCGACTGACGCCGTGCCGGCTATAGATCCTGCGCCCATTGCCATCAAATGACAGCCTTTTGTTTCGGCAACCTTAACATAGGTCAATTTAGAGGTCTTCGAGCAAAATTACACGAAAACTACCCATACTTTGATCCATTTCAGATCGCGTCCATCTAATGCGGCCGATGGAATTAACCGTACATGCCTATCTTTGGGAGGTCCAACCATGACTAACAGAAGCTGAAAAGCAAAAACTGTAGACCAGTTCCGACAACAACAAGAAAGAGGATAAATAAAGAAGACACAAAATACCTGTTCAGATGCGCTGTACTCGACCTTCTCCACAAACCTGCCTTTGTTCTCCTTCTCACCTCCAACTGCTACCAAAGTCTGTAAATTTAACCATTGAGCTAAACCCAAATGGCTAAAAGTTTCTAGTTTCTACTGTACCTCTCTATCCAGCTCCACACAGTACAATCCAACATCAGCAAAGCCTATGACCATTTTTGTTCGGTCGATTACGGTAGCACATTGCGCTAATCGAATGGAAGGTAGACTAGCAACATCAAAGACTTCCTGTAGTACACCAAACTAGACATATGTGGAAAAAATAATATGAAGATAGCACACCTTGACGCTGAAAGCGCTTCGATCTGCTAGCCGTGATTTCTTGAGGAGAGCCTTCAATTCATTCAACGCTATAACCCATTTCTTTCGTTCCTAAAAAACTTGCGATATGATAGTAAGCACTTGAAAAACTGGAATCGAAGGTCTTTTTGCACCGCTACAATATGCTATCGTAACCGCGCGCACACATGTCACCCGGTCTGCTGCGAACTACATACAAACCTCCCAAACATCACGAATATTGCTGGAAGTACCACATGCAAAACTACCCTTCTCTGAAAAGAGCGATTACGGTAGCATATTGCACTTTAAGAGCCTACATCATTTGAACAAGCAAAAAGCGAGCTCTGGTGTACGAGACTTGAAATGAGACGCAATGAATCACCTCTTGACTATCCGCCATTAGCAGCGTGTACTGTCGGTTCATAGCCCCATCATCACCTATGGATATACCCTGGATATGACTAGTGGTGATTCGGAAGATTTTGGCCAGATCGTTCCTAAATCAAATTCAATGATGATAAAAGGTATTGGAATTGCAAAAATGCAAAACTGAAGAAGAACTAAAACAATGACAAAAACCGAATAATTGTTGACTTACTTATTAGCATGGATTACATCTTGCTCGCTTACGCCAGTCACTCCAAAGTCAGGATCTCTCATATCAAGGACCTGAGAAAGGCACAAAATTACATTTCTCTAAAAAAAAAACTCAGAGATTCAGTCCACCTGTCTGATCACTGGCTGGATTTCAGTAGCCTTATTCTGCCGGTCCGTAACGCAATCGTACAAATAAAGCTTGAAGTCACAAACAACCACATAGGTATGCTGCCAACCCTATAAACAAACCAATCATGTCTTAACTATTACCAGAAATTCTGTAACGCATACCTTCTTCACACCACCAGCTCTGGGTGTCCTTACAAGTCCCTCATACGCGGTACCAACTCCTTTCAGGGGATCGATGCCCAGCGGTCTTCGGGCGTCAGGTGGTACGGGACACTGAGGCACGGCTCGAGATGAGCAGTGAACATGACAGGCGTAGTGACATGTTTGACAATACAACCCTAAGAAAAAAAGGTCATTTTTCAAACACAGAAAGAAAAAGACGGAAAAAAATAAAAGGGAAAATAAGATGGATAATTACGACAGATGCTTGGCATACCTTGCCTATCCAGCCCCACCAAGATTGATGTGCAGTGTCCGCATTTGGTCGGCGCGTTCAGATGTACATGTTGAAATTGATGTCCTCGCCCACTCAAAGCATTATTCAACGACTGAATCACCTGAAGACGAAGAATTTGAAGCATGATGTTGGCGAGAAGCGGAGGCAAAAATGTAAAAACTTGGGAAATACATTTTGTAAAAAGTGGAGGGGCAGGGGTATGGAAAAACTTGTCAATTGAATTTTTTGTGGGAAAAATAACAAACCTTCGGGCTTGCGCCTCGGTTTCCAACCAGCATAGTCGAAGCCGTAGATGGAGTTTGGCTATGCCTGACCGTATTCTCGTAAGCTGGAGGTGGTGGAGCTGGGGATGATAACCTCAAACACAAAAGTTCATATTAACCCAACAAACATTATAAATTAGCTTACGGGATGCCAGCTGCATATCTTCTGCTATTTGATATTTCATAATCGGTATTGAATGAATTGTGCACAGAGTCCCTCGGTGTTGATGTTCTTCCTAAAAGAACCAGGACTCAGAAATAACAGAAAACATTATGAAAAAGATTTAACATCAGTCAGAAAGCATGAAAAAACAAACCTTCAGAGACCATGTTAAAGAAAGCTCGTCCATCTTCAACACTATCACGTCCACCACCAGAACGTAACTCAGTTTTTAACGCTTCGTTTTCTCTCCTAGACGCTGCTAGCTAAAAAATTAAACAAATAGACGAAAAAGATAACTTAAAGCAGGTACACGAGAAGGTAAGTGCAAATCCTACACAAAAGAAAAACAAAGTTTTTCAAAAACCAACCCTCTCCTCGCACTCGTCGAGACGAGCTTTTGAAGCAAACAATGCTGAGCGTGTCCGGCTTAGCTCCTCTTGCAGCTCACATTTCGCTCGAATTTCAGCATTCAGTGCTTTCTTAGCGTCTAGGATCTGCAACCACTCAATCAACTTCACATTTCATCTACAAAACAGAAGCTTGTGCTAACCTCCATCTTGGCAGCTTTGTTCATTCGTCTTGATCCCCAGCCTGATGCCGGTGTTGTGATATTACTATACTGACCTAAATTACAAAACTCAATGTCTCGTCAATAAAAATTTCTTGGGCGGTCTGTTAAGCAGCAGCCAGATTTCGAAAAAAGCTAAGGCTGCAGCCGAACAAACCATTTGGCGTACCGCCGTTGGTGCCATTCTGAAGTTTGAGCGTCTCGATATCTCCGGTTATTCGCCGAGTCAGCAGCTGAAATAGGAATTTCATGGCCAGGGAGGTAAATATGTCATTTCACTTATATAAGGCACATAATTTATCTAGAATTCTGCAATTATTTACAGCTGCGCAAATATTCTTTGAGATAACATTATAGGACTTCACGATTTCACAACAGAAGAGCCTAACTAACTCCAACCAAAAATTGCATATTTCAGCAAAATGAAAGTTTAATGCCGAATACATAGTTAAGTTTGAGAGAAGAGAAAACCTAGCAATAATGAAAGTCTAGTTACCTCCATCTCTTCCCTAGTCGCTTTTTCCTCATTTACCCAATTGAGAATCTCATGTAGCTGCTGTTCGTTAATGCCAGGTCTACTCATTTCACTAAAAACGAAGAATTTAGCGCAGTTTTTCGAATGTTGTCAGAAAAATTGAGCAAGTTGTTTATATACTGACATCTCAGCATGCAGTCGAGAAAGCTCAGCTCGCAAGGTGTCATTCTCCAACTTCAATTGAGCAGTGTTCTCTTCATAAGCTTTTTGGAGCCGATCATATTGCACCTAAGTATTATAACATTGGGAAATATTCCATAAAAATTCTATGCAAAATTATTCCGAAGAAATTTGCATTGATGCTCTAAGTTGTATCCTAAGTTTCAAACCACTCAACCCTCACTTCCACATTCTTTGAGTTTTGCTCTTGTTGCAGTGCAAATTGCGCACGTTCTTCTTCAAGCTTAGCACGCGATGCTCTCAACTCATTGTCTTTCTCCTCAAATTGAGATTGAAGTTCAGCCAATTGACCCTAAAAAAAGCACACTCGCTCAGCTTGAGAATCCACAGGATTTACGACGTACCTGGTAGTGCTCGACGAGCTGCTTTCTCTTCTGATCTTCTTGCGCAACAATTTCAGCATGACGCTCATTCAGTCGTTCAAGTTCTTCACCAAGGCGACGTGCTTCTTTTCCTGGATTTTCATCCCCGAACGCAGCCAGCTTAAAAAGCACTTTCAAATAACAAATGCTTCACACTATATTCACTACTGTCAAAAAAGTTAAAACGTTTGAAAGAAAAAAACGAAACTTCTGCACATACCTTTGCCTGCAGTCCTTCTTTCAAAAGACGCTCAGACTCGGCTGCTTGCTTTGCTTTTGTGAGCTCCATGTCAACCTCATGCCGAGCTAAAGTAATTGCTCATAAATTTAGATGTTAAATGGCCCCAACAACAAAAATCGACAACAATATTTCAAGACGACAAAATGCTGACGAAAAAAAGGAATGCACTATCAAAAAGTCATAGCTTTCCTATACTCATTTCACCAGAATAAATACAACCTAGAGATATAAGGCGCAAAGAAACTTTTCAAGTAGTAAACAATCTATAAAAAAAACCATGGCGAGGCTACCATTTGAAAATTATGATAAGAACAAAATTTGTTCCAAAAATTCTAAACACATAAGCATGGTAAAAATAGCGCAAAAATAGACACTAGAAATATATTTAGCTCTGGGCACTCACCACTTTCAGCCTTTCGCAAATCTGCTTTCAGTGAGTCGACACGGGACTGCAGCTGAGCAATCTTCGTTTCCACCTCGGTTGCTTCTTTTTCCAAACGACGCGTTTTACTGCGTTCATCGAGCAATTCATTGTTAAGCTGTAATGACAAAAAATCATAGATGATATACACTCTGCCATGGTGCAATGATACCGAACCTCTTCAAAGTCAGCTTTAGCCGATTCTCTATGTTTTATGGCTTCTTTATATTCTTTCGTCTTTAATGTCAACTTTTCTTCGGCTTCTTCAAGTTCCTGCAATCACAAAGGCATTGAGGAACACTGCACTCTTATTATAGGAATAGAAAGTTAGGCTTCAAGGTGGCCCTGAGAATCTGCGATAGTGAAAACTAAGCGCTGCGTAGAAGAAAAAGCTATCTTAGAGCAGAAAGCATGTCCATACCCCGGTTGCTTCCAATAGATTTTTTCCATCATTTCATCAAAATCTAGCATTTACGTCTACCACTGTTAAGGCAGTCAAACTTTCATAAGCTTAGTTACAGCTGTGCAAGCTTTTGTTAAAAAGATTGGCCCAAATTAGAGAGGTGGCGGAGGTCGGGAGGCACTTCAAACGCACAGCAAAGGGATACAATATTTGCATTGAAAATGAATGAGATTATATATATCGATGGGGAAAAGCAAAGGATATCACAGATCAATTCATATGTGTATTGTAGGTGTCATAATTGTGCAGATAAGGACACATCTGGGATGAATAAATGTAGTAAGCGTCGAGACATTCGCCAAACAATGGAGGGTAAACAATAAGTGAAAACTCACTAGTTCATGCTTTATGAACCCATGATGTGCAGAAAAAAATACAATAATTAAATATTGACGAGCTAACGAAAAGTGAACTACTTCAGCACTTCTGGCATGCTCATCTAAACATCACATCAGCCCTTGGAACTTGTTGTACATAAGCGAAAACCATACTGTACACACAATCATTCCGACTTCACACCTTTATTGACTCAAAATTCGGATCATACGTTCACACACACGTAAATATTAAGAAAGAAAAAAACTTGAACGATCAAATAAAACCAATGAGCGATAACCAAAGCATTAGGATGCAATTCTTTTTGTTCTCTACACGAGAGGATATGCGATACGAAGGGACACAAAAATGTATATGCTGGGAATCACAGAGGTCAAACACAAAGTGTACTTACAAAAGCAAAATGGGAAGAAAAGTGATTATAAAGTGATTATAACACCAGAAGCAGCAGTACATCATCACTGGGTGAAATGGATTATGACGTCACAGTATTGACACCGAAACATGCATGGCATCGGGGAAAGGGACCCATCTTTTTTGACAACACAAGGCTATCATGGAGCAAGTGCATAACCAAGGACTATTATATGCGACTCGGCGGCTTGCTGTTGTTCGAGCCCTTATAATTGCTTTAGCCTGATTTTGACAAAAAGCTCTACTCTTCATCTGAACGCAAATGTCAAACGATTTTACTAGAAAAGGCGTCTCAATTTTGGGCCACAGATTGCTTCAATCGAGAAACTGCCCGAGTAACATATCACAACAACTTCTGTTTTAGCTAAAAAAAATAACTAGTTCATCATTGTAAAAGAGACTGAACATGTGACATTGCTGACATAAGTAACCGGTAAATGCAGAACGTATAAAAAAATTGACGCTGGAAAGACCCTACCAACAAGTGATCACTATCGAACTAATTCCTCGTTTCTTTAAACTTAACCAAAGATCAGCTGTATTTTGGAGCATCACCACTGGTACCTAACAGAAGTATGTCCATTTATATTTTGAATGAGGGGCCAACAAAAAAGAATATTTTCTAAGATTGTTGTACCAACAGCAGAATATGGCAGTAATAGTAAAAAAAACCTCATGATTTGCGCATAACAATGCAAAAAATGAAAACGAGCGCTTCAAGCTCGAACACCAACAAGCTAATCCATCAGCTAAACAATTAACCCATCACACTAATCTACCACTTTTCTATATAGTCGACTTTTCTCCTTTTGCACGAAGTGACTATGTAAAAAACAGCAAATTCAACGCAAAAAAATCAAAATGAACATCATGGAACCATGCAATGAAAAGCAACACAGATCACACAGTCGTCGCCACAAAAGCTATGAGAGTGAACCTCAAAAAGGACACAAGTGAAATGCTACAAACATGCTAAGAGGAAGCTTCGCATGCTCTCCCGACCTCTCCAACTACAGCAGCTCCGGGAAATAACCACATCCACTGACTGCATATAAATCTCACGCCGTGTTGGCAAATCTGTCGCGCCCAACCCCATAATTCCCGTGCTAGAAGTTGACTATACTCTATGGTTCCGCCTATGCCCATATAAGAATAGTGATAAATAAACGAGAAACCCAAACAAAATAGCACCCATAGAAAGTAGGTACGTCTATGATTTCTACGACGTCTTTGCCCTATGAATACCCTATCATCTGCCGGGACTGAAGGCTGCCTTGCGCTCTGCTCGTTCCTTCTATGTGTAAGCGTACTATCACTAGTGGTACAATGACAGCAACATTGCGGTGCTGAGGGTCTTGCCGCGAGCGGGTCCGGTGGAGCGCTTTCGCCGGCGCCACCACCATTCCGTGACAGCTTTCGCTGCTGCTGTTGATTACCCCCATCTGGCACAAAGTCCGGTAAATCGCCTGAAGCCTTCAGCGAGTCGCTCACCCGCTGCAGCTCCGCTTTTTCCAGGATTAGTTGTCGATTCTTCTCTTTCAGCTCTCGAACTTTCTTCTCCAAATCTTCAACGGCCGGATCTTTTGCCGTCGCTGCTCGTTCTTTTGACGCCGTTTCATCGGCCAGGCGAGTTTTCAAGATCTACAATATACCTATTTCCATGCAGCAGAACTAGATTCATGGAAAAAAGATTTTGATGACTTTTCTACGACCCTAAGTCATAAAATTGATGTGACAGTCAAATGTCGAAAAATCTCTTGTCTGAACGATAGAAAGTAAAACTGCACAATCCAGTCCTAACTTCCCTCAAATTAAAAATTTTCTATACTACTTGGAAGGATGTAAAAATAGGAAATAAAAACTATTTACAACAATAGGTGGTGCTTTTTTTAACAAAAGAAGGGTAAACAAAACGATAGACAGACGAGAAGTAAAAACTACTTCATTAAAAATTCGTAATAAAAAAGAGTAAAAATATGCTAATTTCAAAACAAAAAGACAAAACTTACTTGGATCTCATCTTTCAACTGAGCAATAGTTTGCTCATAATTCTTATCTTCTTCTGATCGTGACTCACCCGCAAACGATTGCACCAACTGGTTTGCTTCTGAACAAAAAATGCACTCACAATCCTCAAAATTTTAAGCATTTGAACAAACCTTGGCACTTTCTAGCCAACTCTTGCTTCTCAACTTCAAGTTCTCGCAGCCTTTTCTCGTACGCCTCTGTTCCAGCTGTACGGTTCTGGTCGTTTGCGGACACATCACGAGACAAACAATCGCTCAGCGATTTTGCATCAGAAAGTAAACTGAACATACAGGATGCACTAAACAATGCACAAAAGTTGAAAAAGTTGCTCCGAACCCACCTCCCGTGTGTATATGTAAAACCAATAAACGGTAGGTGATGACCCGTAAAAGCGGCAGTAACTCGGGGTGGTTGAGTCTCCTGCAAATTGTATGTAATAATACATGTCACAGAAATGTCTTACAACCGCTGAGTGCACTTACACAGGGTGTAAAGTCATCTTCGCAGATGTCAACGTCAAAGTTAGACGTATCGGTAGGACTAGACACTTCTGGATGGTAAGGAGGGTCAGCTAAAAAGAAATTATTTGTCTTTATATATACTCAACCTCCCAGAGTCACATAAAAACTTACAATCTCTGATTCCAGCCCAATCGACTCCAGCGAAAAATGGATGATCGCGGAAATCCGCAAAACCTCCCTTGCCAAGCCGAACCTCAAATATGGAGCATAGCAAATAGAGAAACTGGTTCGCACTTCAACTTTGGAGTGGGTAACAAAAATAGAAAATAGCACCTACCTCCCTCGGGCAGATCAATTTCCGTATCAGATCTTTCGCTTCCTCAGAAATAGTCCAGTCTATATCTTCATCCGGAAAATCTAACATGTCCTGGTGACTCATAATCTTCCCGTAAGTATCAATCAGGCGTTCCGAATAAAATGGCGTATTTCCATAGAGCATTTCATACCTAAATTTAGCATAGTAACAAATTCTGGCGCGCAACCGAGCCTCAACGCAAATAATGTCAACATTTTTTTCTTATAACCCACATGCAAATTCCTAACGACCACCAATCGCATTCTTTGCCATAATGCCCTTTTCCATCCTCCATTGCACGCAGGATCTCCGGTGATATATAATCCGGCGTTCCGACTGCGACATTTGAGGCCACCGTACCTGAAAAATAAATTTATAGATATTTGCAAACATATGTTTCAAAGAAACGCAATCAAAACACAGGAGATCCCAGAGTGATAACTTACCATCTGGTAACAGTCGTAGGCAACTCCCAAAATCAGCTAGTCGTATATGACCTTGTATGTCAAGTAATACATTGTCTGGTTTTACATCCCTAAAACAATCAGTTATAGAATGCAGGGACATTTTCTGTCATTTTAGTGGCTTTCTTGAAGAAAAAAAAACATGAAAAGGGCACACAAGGATGTGATTATTGCACCGTCACAAAAAAAGTAATGCACTGCACGAGCATGATCTTTTTCAGCTTAAAGGACGCAGAAGTGCAATTCTTGTTCTATTTTTATATCATTGAGATTAGCTATTGCTTGTTTATAGCTTGAATTTCAAGAATCCCTTTTGAGAAAACATACAAAATCAATTTAAACGTTAATCAATAGTCATAGAACGAACCTGTGAACATAACCCAAATTATGTATGGAGTCGATGGCTAACACCATTTCAGCTATATAGAATCGTGCCATTGTTTCTGGTATACGATCCTCGAACTTTGACAATAATGTCAACATGTCACCGCCAACATAATAGTCCATTACGAAATACTGGAAAGAAATAAAATCATACAAAACCCTTTTTCCCAGCAAATCAATTTTGCCTCTCACCAAATTCTTTTCATCTTGAAACGCAAAATGCAGATTGGTAATCCATCGCCTGTCACCGTAGACGAGCACATCGCGTTCTTCGCGAAAGCATGCCGTTTCCGCTCGTTTTAGCATCTCCCATTTGTTCAAAATCTTCATTGCATAGATCTAAACCATAAATATAAGCATAACGCTGTACAATGTCACAAAAGCAACAGTACTCAATCAAAGGTCAGATTTGGATGATAAGAGCCCACAATCATACAATTCACTTGACAAAGAATTTCTCTTAAAATTTACCACGATTCATGAACAACATTGAAACGGCGTTACGACTACTTAGAGAAAACCTTCTTACAAGGAAAGGATACTTGGCGACCCCGGCCAGGAATGCGATGTGTACCATAAGGTGCACCTCAAAACGCTGATTCTAAATCTGTGCTCGAAATCTGCGAAACGATCATATGAAGGCAGTTATGAACTTTTTTCGTAGAAAACTTGCGTACTTTTGGGTAGTTAAAATCACCCAAGTTGATCTATGTTACCATTTGAAGCTATTGAGGAGAATCTTGAAGGGTGTGACGTTGCATTTATACCTATCTAAATCATTTTTAGCATTTGAAGAGGGAAGCAAAATTTTTATCAATGATTTCCACCCTCCACAGTAGCGCAATTTATTTTTGAGAAAAATTAAAATGACTCCATCCAGGTTCTCGTTTCGCAGATATGAAAAACAGTATTCGAACCAGCATTAGAAGGCGCATTTTTTAATGTACAAACCATTATGAATGACCGGGGTCACTAAGTATCGTTCCCTGTTTAGGCAAAAGGATCAAACCATCTCTCCCCGATGAGGTTTCCAACTAATAAACCAAAAACATACCTCGCCTACGCCTCGCATTCTGACAACGGCTACTTCGCCAAAAGCACCTTTGCCGATCACTTTGAGCAGTTCGAAATCGTCCCGGCATAGTCGCAGCTCTTTTGCTTGGGTCACAACAGTTTTGACTGCAAAGGAAACTTTCACAACGAAGAAAGATAAAAACATTTATTGGTCATTGGTAAACAGGTTATACATGGCGAGGAAACGAATCGAAGACAGTGCATGAGGATTTAGTCAATTATTCTAACCTACCTACACCATATCTATATCCGTAGTCAAAATCTTCCACCGCAAGTTCTCCATTGGCAGTTTTCTTGCAAAAATAATTCTTCTCACAAGCACCAATCTCGGTGCGCTCTAGTTTAGCAACAGAAGTGATGATCTTCATTGCTAGTCAGATGAAAATTGGAAGGACAATAACGCAATAACGTCCAGCAGCAGCACAATGATGACTGACGCGTTAAATCGGCACGGAAATAGATGACCGGTCGGATAAGCTGCTAGGCAAATCCGAGTTAGCAATAGCGACCGGAAATTGGTCCGCAATAAAACATCAAACCACCAAATCCCGCATTCTGCGACAGAAACAGGAAATAGTCACAAAATCTGGGTGGCGTAGGTATGATGGTAACCGCTAGCTTTCAACAAAAATTTCTTAACCTGCGATCACAATCCATACAATTTACTCATTAAGAGGGCAGCAACTAATCCTGACTATATTAGAGCCATGCAAATGACTTGAAAAATGAATCCTTAATCTGCTCCTTGCTCACGCCTCCAAACCGCCTCTTTTAAGCACTACCACCATTTATTACATTTTTACCCTTTTCATAAATTCGCTTTCGCTCATCATAAAAGCAGCAAACAACGGCTGAGTCTCTATCATCTGCACATTCCTGAGAATACACGGAGTATCTAGCGCAAGATTTTTTCCAAAGCGTGCACATGTGTTTTTTCCGACATTGATTGACCCTAAGCCCACTAGTCTAATCAAATCATCGATTTATTTTAAAAACTCGTGCAGCAAGATGATTTGCAGAGAATGGAGACGCTGTATTCCGACAGATTAATTTCGAAGAAATCGCAGTTGCTAGTAGACGCATTCATAGCTTTAGTACTCATACTCGAACAAATATTTTCATTCCAAACCCTGAGTCAGGAGGAGACAATTTTCTCACGAACGGACTAAGAGTCTTACGACACTTCTGACGCAATCAAAAAAGCACCAGCCAACACATTCATAACAGCAGCAAGCACGAAATCGCTTATTCATCGCTTTCGCAACCAAAAGTCGAAGGGAAAAAACATGAAGCTGCTAGATTTGCATTTTCGCTATGATGCAGTGCGATGGAAAAGTGATAGATAGAAAAATTATGAGAAAATGAAGCTGAAAATCTATAGCTCAAAAGACCTACCAGATTCAACAAATTCAGCTACGCACTTTTCTTTTCGTAATGTACTGCTACAACACTCATCGTATAGGCAGATGAGAGTATCTGAAAAAACTAGATAAGAAGAAGAAGATTTCAGGTTTTCTCTCATTTTTGTCACCCTAAATGTCAACTTCTTCAAGACCATTTTCAAGAACACTCTTGGGTAAATTCACTTTACTAACTTGAGATAAACTTGATAGAGAGTGCACTTTTCTCAACAACCTGCATCTCATTACAGATTAGTGTTAGTTTTTGTAGTCTATCCCACAAAAACCGCCCCCGAAATGTTAGCTTCGTTCGCCAAAGATCTCAAGATGTTTCGATATTGTTAGCTTAGCAAACTCATAAAGCGTAGAAACGCTCCATAAAGCCTAAAAGCTTGCCTCATACAGACACTAAAATCAGAACGAAACCAAACATGTGAATAAGTCGAAATGCAAACACACCGAGGAGCGCTTCAAACGACAATGCTGTGTTGCTCTTCGACGGTCCATTAATATAGTTGGCCTCTAGCTGTGACAGACGGCCCACCCCGCCGCTGTCCTCCGCCTCGGCCATCTGAAATCGAAGTATAAACGAAAATGAAAGAAAAAATACAAGGTAAGAACGTGGATGGAATTAGATGTGAGAAAAGTACAATGGAGGGATCTAATATGAAAAAATATCATAGCACCAAATTAGCCGATGACAAACGCACACATCATCAAATTTACTTATCGCAAACAAAAATTTTGAGAACGGACGATGATACTGTGCAAAAAAAATGTATTCCCCATAGTTTGGGGAAAAGCACTTTTAGCGTTGCATCTTCGCAAAAAGATGAGGCTGAAACGCAAAAGGCGTGGAGTACTTTCAAAGCTGATTATCATTTCCAAAAGTAAAAAATAGAAAAGGATAATAGGATAATGAAACCAAATATTCAAAAAGATACAAAGATACTTAAGAGTAACATCCTAATTCCGAAAACCCTTCTCTCATGATGAAAACAAAAAATCACAAATTCCAAATTCTAAAGACCTAAAATTCACGTATGTCGTACCTAAGCGACACGATAGAACTACACCAGACACATTGAAGAGGCAAAGACGTTCGTGATTTCCGGCCGAGTCAACATAACCCAAAAAGTTCCGAGTTAAAGCAGAAAAAGCAATCAGAAACGACCTGGTTCTATGGGTCGGTGTACTGCGCTGATTATCTGAGCCAGATGTTAGACGACGTCAAAAATAAAAAATGTGAATACGACAATGGAGTTTTCAAGAATCTCCAACACTTGTCCTCGCTAAGCAGAACAAGAGATTCCACTTTTTTCACAAAATAATTCATCCTGTAAGGATTTCATCCAGTATATGATTCTGCGTTGAACATCCGCAATTTCGGAAATGCACCAACTAAAGCATGCAAAAGCAACCAAAACATCTGATCAGACTTTGCTCAAAAGCGCTCAAAAGCACTACAATTTTTTTGATCTCTTCTCGCATTCCTCTCCTCACACACGTTCAGCGCTACCTTGCTGGCGCTTTGAGCTGGCGCTGAATGCTTTTGAGAAATATGAGAATTTTGAAGAAAGATGAAGAAATCCGAGCGTTTTGCAGCGCTTTTAAGGGAATTCTAACAGCTTCCTTAACAAATATGGAGGAGGGTATAAAAGTCTCTTTTTGCAGCCATGATAAGTTCTTGGAAAGTAGGGAGATATTTATGCTAGGAGTTACCCGGTAGACGACACAATTGAGTCAAATCCCCAATATGGATATAAAAGTTTGAAGACCAATCGCGGAATCCTACTTATTCTGCGACTTTATTGTTACTAAAACGCTGTAGTAAAGCAAACCAAAAAAATATTCATCAACTTGTCTGAACCCTATGCTCACAACCGAAAAAAAAAGAATGGAAAAGAGCAGAAAATGGCGAGTTACAAGGATATAAGCCGTGGGATGTGGTGCACTTGTGCAATGCACATATCAAGTTAAAAATGTTCTGACTGCACGCAGTTTGGAAGGAAAAATTTTGACAGACTTATAACAAAACAAAAACCTCAAAATGATTGCAAAAACTGTAAAGTATGAAAAAAATGCAAACTGAAACCGCACAATATCAAATCAAAACTTCAAATGATTAGAACCTGTAACACAATCTCAAAGAGTTTGTGCAAGAATGATATTCTACTGATACGCTCCTGCAAAAACAAATCAAATTCAGCTCAAAAACAACTATTACATCCATCTATTGACTTCAGCGACAACAATTATGAATGGAAGTATCAAAACAACGCGAATGCTTCGAATTACTTCAACACACAGCAGTTCACGACCACCGCTGCTCCCCAAAGCATTAGTCACGCAACAACTGGCTTGTTAGCAATGCTTCGAAGCAGCATGACTGAACAGCAACATGCGAAATCAAACAAAGTGTTGAAGGCAATTATTCAGCTTCATTGAACTATACGTTTCCTAACTGGAAACTCACAATTCTAACTAGTAGAACATGAGTGGCAACATCTATATCTGATCTCGCATCTCTAGAGGACAACAAAGCAGCAAAGCAATAAACAAAGGTTACACGCGCTGCAAAAGCGCAACTCGTTTGTTTCCAGTAGCAGAGATTCCTAATAAGATATGCGAGACTGAGAGCGATAAATCGAAACCAACAAGAGCGCGAGCGTTTCGGAGCGCTCTGTGCTAGCCTCTCTAATGTCTGTTCTACACGCTAACGACGAAAGCGAGTACAAGCATTTCGATTCTGGATCACACATAAGAAAAACACGATAGACAATTGTAAAGGCTTGACCTCAATAGCTGATGTTCGCGCTGTTAATCACAAACGTTGCGAAGTCTACACTTTACGATTTGTAGAAAAAAGTCCGGATATAAGGATGCAATTGAAGTCCATCTATAACGAACTTCCAATCCAGATTAACAAAGAAAAGAGATATGGAAAATCTTATGGAGAACTTCGAGAAGCACAACGAACTATAGTATCTTCGCGAAAAATGCAAGGGACGAGCAACAGTTGTGGCCATAAAAACAGAAAGAGAGAAGCCAAAATGCCAAAAAGTGCAAAATGAGTTGAGGATGAAAAGATTAACATCGTAACAACAAAACTTTGTAAACTGTTGCAATGATGTGCTGACGCAAGCTCACTTTAATGCTATGAAAAATATCATTTTAAAATCCCCAAAATCAGTAGTACCTCCACTTTCTTCTACCTACCACTGCATATTTCAAGCAGTCTAATGGAAAACAATAGAAGCAATATTCTATGAATACAAATGAAATGCAAATCTCGCGTTCATCACATCGACAGATTTGAGATCGCAGAAAAACCATTGAGAACGATTTATGAATTCTTAATGTCGATGGTGGTCAAGAAATCAAATCGCATGCAAACGTCCACTTGTGAGAATTGGATAAATGGTAAAAACTGCTGAATGATGAGTCAACAATATGTTCGATAAAAATTGACAAAAAAGAAAAAGAATTTATGAGAAACTAAAATCTACTAGCAAATGAGGCCAAAAAAAATTTGAATTAAATAAGCAATGAGACACAGCACATAACATAGCGATAGCAATGAATTTTGAGTTCTTATGAAACTGATTGACATCATTCTGTGACAGGCACGCACGAAAAATTAGTCATATTGACGTAAAACAGTAGAAAAGAATACAATATGCTAATATGCGGGGAACCGTTACTGTTAGCTCGATTTGTCATAGAAAACACATTATCTCAGATTCAGAAAATGCAAATAGGCATTGCCTATTAGGGGAAAAACGGGGTATACGCTCGATATGACAATAAATTCCAAAAAATCACCTCTAATCCTCAAAACGCGTCAGAAGTCAATAAAGCGCAGCGCTAAGCTACTCCCCAGAATGTCACGTAAATCTGAATGCACTTTCGAATAGAATCGAAGTCGAGTACTACCGAAAATTCTGTATTTCGCTCTAGAATTCCGCATTCAACAAAGCACCAACGATCGATAGAGGGCGACTACGGGGCGACCGACAGGAGAGGGCGAAAGCGCCCCAGACACACGATGAACGACGCACTCGCCGGGGCAGAAGGCGAATGCGCTGCAGCTCCTTGCTGCTTTTCCTGCAATGGACTGGCGGGGGGGGGGGGAGGGGATAACGATGAGCACAGCGTTGGAGAGTGCAAATTGCTTGTTCCTAAGCTGCTAGTCATCAACTTTTCCAAAAAGCAAAAGCGCCGCCGCACTTCCTCATGGCACCGCGTAACTCCGCGAACAATTTCACATCGCTCGTAAAAAAACACTGCAGCCAATTCAAAGAGTACGAATTTTCAGAACTGGACTCATAAAGAAGGCTGTTAATGGGCAAAAACTGCAAAAAAAAAGACAGAGTGTGGCACACACACTGCTCATCCCATTCTATCATCAAAATTTTCTTCTCATTCCCCTCTAGGGAAGCATGGGTCGATTAGGAATGGGAAGCCCGTTAAGGTAAGCTATTATCCTACGAGTTAGAGAAATAGCAAGAAATGCAAAATGCAAGAAATATGAAGTAACAGAACATACTTGCAGAACTCAACATTGATCAAGTTCTCCAAAAACAAACGCTGCGACCTTCACCCGTAACTGCGCAGTAATTGAAAACAGAAGAATCTTCTGTGAACCTACGTATGTAAGAACAAATTGCAGTTTCCTATTCATCGCTCACCATAGTTGACATGGTAAAGGTGAAGACTTGACTGTTCAATCCTTAGCCAAGAAATTGTTTTAGCTGTATGAGCAAAATTTGCTAGAGTAGGAAAAACTCATAGAGAAAGTGCAATCATATTCACTAAATCTAGATTAGTCAACCAAGTTACCAAAACAGAAAACCACACTTTAACACAAACGCTATTTCTCCTCTTTTGGAACGACATGAAAAACTGCAAATGCAGAGGTTTCATAAAACAGGGCCTGCGTGCTGCACTGTGCACTGATTATAGGATAGAACCAGTTCATCAGTCATCACCCAGGTTCGACAATGCGATCGAAGGACAACTCTACTGTGAGTAGACAGCCGTCCACATTCAATGGGGACTGGTTTTGAAAATAAAGCAGTAAAGTTAGTTGGTCCAGGCTGACAGCGCAAGATTTACTAGAAGAAAGAATAAACTACAGAGTGTCCCAATAAGATGTGCACACTGTTTGATCGTTAATAACCCTCTTGTTTTCATGTCTTTTGCCGAGCTTGAGGTACCATTCTGTAGAGCGAGGATGAACTTAAATTTACAGTATGGAGCGAATCACCAATCTCTTTCGTTACTGAAGGATCAAGGTATGAACTTTCAGCATACAACGTCATTATGGAATAAGCCTTTTGATGAAATAACCTCAAAAAATCTAAAAAGTTGTGTAGCAAGGTTTTCAGGCGTGCTGATTTCACTACATAACTTTCCAACAGTTTTTCGAGCTTTCTTGATGGTGTATTCATATTTTTGACAAACCTTGGAGATTCAGTTATTACCCTAAATCCGAAATAACTCATGAAAGAAACAGTGTACTGATTTGCAATTTTCATATCTATAATCAGCAACTTCGATTAACCCACT